AAAGGCAAAAGCTTAGCTATGGTTATATTGAAAAGCAGCTCCTGGAGCGGTCTGATTGGCTGGGTCAGCAGATATGAAAAGCTCCTTATGTCTGGGGCAAGCCTTAAGTTAATTGTGAACTGCTTATCTTATCTGGAAAACATAATTGCAGATCATGAATAGTTTCCCTTTGTGCCTGCTTGGATTATAAAGGGAAGGGAAGGTTATCTGTGCATAATAACTCCGGGCTTCTGTCACACATTCGGAGCGCTGTATGGCAAGTAGGATGTGTGAGGAGTGTTGGTGTTTGGTGGTGATCCAGCAGAAAACACTGTGCACCATAAAAGATAATGCTTTGACATCAGTATTATCCACCGTATCCAAGAGAAGCAGACCATGCATGGCCAGGTGAAAATATGCCTCCTTGCAGTTTTCATGCTTCAGTACTGTTCTCTGCATTCAGAGCATGTGGATGCTGCTTGGCTGACAGTAATGAAGGGGGAGTGAAAGCACGGTGTGCCGATTCAAATCATATCACTTATTCTGAAGCGCAGAGCCTGTAGTCTGTGAGTCTGTAGTCGGAAATTAATTAACAGGAGGAAGCCGTGTCTCCTTGGCCCTGCGTTGTGTTACCATGGCGGGATAATGTAACACCAGCAAAAATGTGGTCAATTAAAACATGAACATGCCTTTGATATCTGGTCAAGCACAGACAAAAGGATTTGCTATTCTGAGAGGCGGCAGCTCAGTGCAACATCCAGGTGTTGTCCACTACACAGTATGAGCGTCTTAATCTGTTGCGTTCCAGCATTGTGGTCACATTTTTATTTAGAAACAGATCTTCATTCAAATTTGCATATTGTCCATCACTCATCATCTTAAACAAATATCTTAAATTCACATTTTCTTTTTTCTTTGTTTTGTAATCGCCTTTCCATTCCTCATTATTTTCATTTAATGCAATCCCGCTTATCTCGTCTGGAGTTTTTGTACAGTAGAAGTTTTTAGCCCCCCACCGCTCCTGCATGGGCTTTTATTTACTCTTAATCCACATATATCTGAGTCTATTTAGCTTCAGCTTTGTGTGTCTTTTATGATAGCCGCATTTTTAATGTGCAAACAAATAAAATAAATAATGTACAAAAGGTGCACAGTATGCACGCGAGGTCAGCCCGCCAAAATCTGGCATTGCACATATTGATGACAAAATAAGCAACTTGTTTATCAAGAGTTTAAAAACCTGCTTCTTCAACGCTGTGTGGGTGTAGTTTGATCAGATTCGCCTGACAGTGTTGGCATGTGGCTAATTTTTGATTGGGGCTTTTGTGACATCACTTTGTATTTCCATTTGAGCCTCGCCCACTTTAAACCAGTGATAAAAGCTCAGAAAGGAATATAAAAATATCTCATGTGAAACAACAAAAACCAATCCAAGTTTGGCAGATAATTTTTGGTAATACAGCTCCCCATCACTCACAGTGAGAGGCTGATTAAGGAAATATGTTCTTGTAGGGATGCACTGATCCAGCTGTTTTCTTTTCTTGTGCCCATTTTTATACCTCAACTCAAGGTGTGTGCCAACAACAAGTACTCCAATTTAAAATCTGTATATCTCACTGTGTGGAAGGCATTGTAATTATTTTTATGTAGTAGAGGCTTTTAGGATTTTAGGGCTCAGGATTGGTGCCTGTTTAACCTCTATAAACACGTCTGCATGTACGCGAATCTGTATCAGTGTGTAGTCTGAGTGATATTGACCAATCATGTTTGAGCAGGCTTTTGTTGCCCGTGGGTAAACAGTTCATGTGGAGAGCAATAGAGCCACAGACTGTAAAAATGATGGATGTAGCTACTATGACGTCACCCACTGCTTTGTTGACTCGTGTTTTGAAGGCTCGAATTTGACATTTCAGTCGTCACCATCTTGGTTTTTTGGAGCCAGAAGTGACCATATTTGGGTGAGAGGCTGGTGCTGTTGAGGAGCGAGGGGTGAATCTGACTGAGAAGCCTGTCACTCAAAGCGGCCCACCCTTAATTATGAGTAGCTTTATGCCTTCAAAAAATGTAAATAGGTGAATTTATAAAAATCCACTCCTTGTACAGTTGTCATGAATGTTAAAATTAGCTACAGATCCCCAAAATATTTATTGTACCAGGCTGTAAATGTGTTTATTTCTGCTGTTAAGGTGAGCATTTTAACATGGGTATCTATGGGGACTGATTTGCACCTGCAGCCAGCCTCTAGTGGCCGTTCAAAGAACTGCAGTGTTTGGCACTTGATGTTAGCTTCATCTTCCAGCCGTGGAGGTTGCTGCTTGGGCAGAACACATCAGCCAAAATGCAATCTTGGAACCCATTGGTGATCAATGGATGACGATTTTGCTTTTTATCAGCCATTTTTGAATTGATCTGCATTCATATGCAATTATAAAGATTAACCGAAATGTTGTCTAGACTTGTGTCCAGTTGCAAACCAAACTGTAAATAATGAGTGGCGCATAAAAGGGAAAGTCTTGCCCCAGATATCAACTGGGGGTTGCTATAGTTTCCGGGTTGGATGACATGTTTCCTAGCCTGGAAATCCAGACCCAAATCTAGACAGATTTAGGGTCTTGCTATGAGTAATACAAATGGCCCAACTCGAGGGGCGGCACCAAGCATGCATTTGAAAATATCACTGCACGCAATTGGATAACACTACGACCAGTCAGAACAGTACACGGGGTGACGTATCCAGAGCTTAGCTACCAGCGGAGCTAACTGGTAGATTAGACTCTTGCTGTATCCAGTTGGCAAAACAGCAAAAACATCCTTCTTACAAAGGAAAGATTCGAGCACCGTCTTCTGTTCCTCTTTTAGAGAAAAAGCCAAGTCTAACTCGTTCATTGTAGCGGCCAAAGCCGTTTCAAACAACTGGTGTTCATCCGTAGCCATCTTGCAGTGTTTACTGACTGATTCCGGACTTCGTCGTCGCAGCGCTGTCGTCATCTGTTTAGCTCGCCTCTTGCCCGCCTATATCAGATACACCTATGTGATTGGTGCAGCTCGCATCCAAGGGCATGGGTAATGAGCATCATTACTGGTTGCCAGAGTGACTCGCTGAGCAAATTCAAATTGTGCTCTAGCGAGAACTCTGGATTTCCAGGGTACGTGATTCCTTGAAACAGTGTGAAACATGTGCAATGGGCTTTTCTCTCATTTAGTGGGTGTGTAAGAGGTGTCACCCAATCAGCAGCGACGTGTAGCCTATACAAACCAAATTGTGGTAGCTCTTTACTTATTGTGCATTCAATTTTTGTCAAGACTTGCTCTGGCAATATAAGCGTATGTTTTCCATGCCAATAAAGCCCCTTTGAATTAAATTGAATTAAACCCCCACCGTATTTAAAGCCGGTCCACTTGTGTAACACAGTGGGGCGTTCAACACACCACTATTTCTGTTTAAATGAACGTTTTGCTATGTTTTGTCCAAGCTGAATGTAGCCAAGTGCTCCCGAAATATTAACCCTAGCCTATTTGACATGTTGAGCAATCACAACTTCCCATAGACTTAGCCTACTGTACGTTGTGAATGAGATGTCTGCAAATCAATGGATACGTTTTTTAGGTTCCCAGTGAAACACTTAAATAACCCTTATTTATATAGTTATGTCCCTATGAGTTGTGAATTTCACTAATAGCCAGAGTTATTTTGCTGCTGTCATTCACGTCTGTGAACCTGAGACCAGGTAGTTGGGAGGTGGGGTTGAAGGCAAACGCTGGTGCTCTTGCTCAATGGGCCCATGGATGCAGAATTTTATACCCAGTATCAAACTTTTTTTACTTCATCCATCACTGAGCAAATGAACAGGGTTCTGCCTCCAACGCTGTATTCAGTTCTCTGTATGCATCCATGGTTGCCCCCAGGGACTGTATCGTCATCAACCGAAGGTTAATGGGTACCAAGACTGGTGCTAATCCCAAGCAAGCACATCAGCATCAGGTACAGGTATTTCAGTTTGGTTAATAGTACAATAAGGTAAAATGTGGAACTCTTACAAGGCCTCTGGTGAGACCTGGAGGCTATACAAGCGCTATAATCTGGGTGTGAATTAGCTGTGGTTTGCTGATGGATCACAGTTAAGCAGCCATTAGGAAGGACAGGGATGGAGAGCCTCACAGTGGAATTACACTTAGAGAGGCTGCTGTTGTAAAGCAAAGTGTGATGTGACTGAGCACCTCCATTTAATCATAGCAACAGATCACCCTGAGCACAGCTGTGGGCTGCAGGACCGACAGGAGGCAGTAGACTGGTCCAGAGCTGCAGGTTTTCACCTTCAATTAAAAAAACACTTTCAGAATAAGAGCCTTGTGTTGGATTTCAGATTGTAATGCTGCACGTGCTCGTCAGTTTGTGAATAAGGGCTGCCTATGACGTGGTGACCAGGTTGGTGCGGGGACACGAGACGTCAGAAGAGTCAGTTTGCATCATGTGCGGGAACAGCAGGGACTCTTCAGCTGGCACAATGACAGCATGGGAAATGAGGTGCACCTGGTCAAGTCGCGCAGCTGCTCACGCGAGGGCCTCGGGGAAATAGTCCAGATACTACCGAGTGACTGCATATGTACAGTGTGTGTGTGTGTGTTTGTTGAGGAGATGCAAGTTCATTGACAACACAAACTGAGTCATCACAGTCTGACTGTGCAAAGACTGACAAAATCCACTCATGCTTCTGCCTGTTTTCTCTCTTATATACCATTTATGTAGCTCAGGAAAGTTGGAACATGCACACACACACACACACTCACAACCACAAACACACACACATGGCCTTTAATGTGAACATAACTTTGAAGTTATGGGCGTTCAAACAAATCTAATATTCTTTTTCTTTTGCCGCAGATCTCATCTGTAAAGCGGGCAAACGTTGGTATGAATCCCAAGTGATTTCACACACACACACACACACACACACACACACACACAGGACCGCAGTGCACGCAAATGTAATTGGCAGAAAAGGGGAGAAAACGCTTTGTGAGATGTTTGCGCGTCTTTAGCGCAGGATGTGGGACAGCGCAGCGCACGTCCCTGGAAACAGTGAAAAAGTAGAAGCATGTAATATTAATGGATCCAGAGTTGTGCGGGTGCCTTGGGTAAACCAAGTCGATTGACGCGCGCGTTAAACCAGCCGCATGTGATTTCCAGCTTCAGTCATTTTGGCAGCACGATGCGAGAGAGAGACAGACACGGAGCTGTGAAACTGGACCCTCTGCCAGAGATGTCGACGGAGAGGAATCCCTGAAACCACCGCTGCCCAGGAAATATGGACAAATGTTGTTTTCTGTGCGAGTGCGGGCTGATTTTTCCTCTCGGTTTTTTTGCACATCGCTTACAGAGTATAGTGGACCAGGATGCCGTGTGGGCGATGCTGCCACAAGGGATACATTGTGATTTCGCAGAGATGTTTTAGCAACCGTTGCATAAATTAGAATAAGAAAGCCCGTCACATGAGGGATCGGAGTCCAAAGGGATCTAATAAGACATCACCACCTGTTACTAGAAAATCAGGTAAGCCCCCCTTTTTGGGGGTTTTACATTTACAGTGCCTCGCATTACACATTACGAACGCAGGTAGTTAATTATAATGCCAAACACCCGTGAAACGCAACATTAATCCGTTTACAATGTACTTTTTTGAGATGTATTCTGCCTTAATGCTGCGCACCAAGATTTATGTAGCAATCACCTATATGATCCGATGCATAATAAACCATACCATCCTCTATTAGTCACATTTCGCTGATGCACTAAGCTGAACACTTCACTTATAATGGGCCTCGTGATTAAAACAGCCTTTCGTTATATTGCATGGTTTGCAGGGGAATATGTGCAGAAAGCTTCACATTGCCTCAGTGCAGGTACACGAGCAGCACCCGCAGTTCCTCCAGCCAGTGCAGTGGCAGCAGACCTCTTTTCATCCATAGTGCTATTCAGCAGCGTTAAAGTACTCTCTCTGCACTGGATGCCAATAATCCACAACCTTTTCTCTTTACAAAAATAGGCCATTTTACATCTCGAACGTCACTCAACTCTATTCACAAATCGCTCATTTGCAGCTTCTTCTTGGAAAAAGCACCAAGGCGACGTCCATCAGTGATAAACCTGAGGAGTATTTCAGCACAGCTTGCTGCTGCTGCTGGTGGTCCACTGTGTTTTATTAGCCTCGCAGAAAGCTCCTGAATTCTCCAGTGTTTCACTGAATTTATGTTGCTTCTTGAACTGTAAACTGGTGTGGCAGGGCACACGGGCAGGCTTGTTTTTTCTCATTATGGGCTGCAGGATGACAGGCAATCAGTGCAGTTTGTATCTAAGAAGCCCACTGAGATGTAGAATCCAGACTCCACATCATTGATTTCTATGCTCATGCAAGCATATTGAGCCGAGCTGAGCTGGTCCATTCGCTGGTCATAGGTCAGCAGCAATCTGTTTGATGTACTGGAGGTCTCACTTCCTACAGAGGCAAAGACGTTGACATGTCATTGACGATTTTATGCCCTGGCACACGCATCCCCCTCCCCTTCTATTTCTGCTTATGTCCTAAATCAAAAAGCAGTTTGGCCAAGTGACAGAGGTAGACTGGCAGAAAATCAGGCCTGAGTGAAATGGTGTCAGTCATGTCCGGTCAATATGTCAGGCGGGGTGGAGAGACAGCCAGGGACAACTTGTTTGAATCCTCCATACTGTGTCGCAGTCTGGATCTGCTGATAGTTGGGAAAAAAAGGACACTGTCACAAAGTTTTAGCCGACACAATCACCATCTAAAGCCTGCTGGCATCGATCATGGTCTGGAAACATTGTCTACACTGCACAACAAAGAGTTCCCCCACACTTTATCTTCCCTACTTAATTAATCAATAATCCGCTTTTTCTCCTGCAAACTGAATCCCATCGGGTCATTTAAGAAGCAGGACTAGTTAAACGTCTTGAAGCTCACAAGTGGGATAACTTGTCCTAAGGCATTACTGCAAGCAGTGGATGTACACATTGACATCAATTATGTATGTTAACACATTCAAAAGGCTGTTACACTCCCCAAGCATCACCCAGCAGCTTGATATGTAACAGTGTTGCTCTGAATATTCAAGGGTTACACTTGCAGTGCTCAGAGTGAGGCATAATTCGTTTTTTTTAATGTCATGTGGCTTTATTCGCTGACCTATTTTGATCATGAAAAGGAGCACTGTGCTGAAAATGATGCACAAAAAAAACTTGACAAGCCTGGCAGGAAAAAACGGAACAATAGTGATGGGTTCAGGGGAAGTAAAAGCAAGAAACTAAAACATGATTGTGCAGATTTAGGCGTATGTAAAGAAAACAGTTCTCAAAATAGAGTGGTGTGTTAACATTTCCCTGCAGCGATTGTTCTATCTAAAGGGCAGCTGGGAGAGCCTACAGTATGTCACTGTAAGGCTGGACATCTTCATTACAATCTAGCCCCAGAGCCCGGCAGCAGGGAGGAAAATGTATCACACCTGATGTTTCCGTGGGGCTTTTATAGCAACTGTTTGGTCGACCATCCATACAAACTGCTCCAGATGTTGAATTCACAGAGGGGAAGCCATATGCTTTTTATCGCAGCGTGATGTATGAGCAGCACAAATAAAAGAAACTCTAGATATCTCTCTCTCTCTCGGAGACAGCGCAAGAGAAATATTAGGGGTCTGTGCCACAAAGTCACTGACTGTCATGCAACAAGAAAACCATTAGTCTGTCTTAGCAGAGACTGATGGCTAATGAAGCGAATGCACACCAAAGTCTCATGGCGGGGAAGACAGAAGACACAACTCTCATTTATATGCGCCTCATATACCAGCCCATCTGATTTAGAGGTTCAGGATTGCAACACAGACTAACGCACTGAAAGCTACACGGAAGTGATAACTGCCCTGAGTAAAGCAATAAGGGTTGAGATTACACATAATGATTTATGATACTAGCACACTGCTTAACATATGGGTGACAGAAGAAAACCCTAAGAGATAACATCTATACCTCCAACACTGCATTTCTGTTCATTCCTGTATGCTTTGCAGCGTGTGACTAGCCCAGGCTGGACAATTTTAGGTCACATTTGATTAATGTGGAGAGTCTGCTTATTCGTTAAACACTGCTGCCTTGACAGCACGCTACAGCAGCGGCTCAGCCCTGATGGAAGGCAGTCGTCTTGCACGGTGTAAATTGCATTATTGTGTTTCCCTGGAACGTTTGCAATTCATTCAACCTGTGAATAGTAAAATAGCCCCGAGCAGCAATTAACCCACTTCACAATTTTTGCTTATGATAGCAGAACAGACTGTATGGCCATCATAGCTGCTGTTTACTGTAACAGTTGTAAAAACACTGCAAAGCATTTGTGAAGCAGGGCTCAAACAATTAGACAGTGAGTCCTGGCAGAAATGTAATCACTAACTATTTTGATTATCAACTAATCTTTTGTTGATTAATCCAAGCATGAGTGCCAGAGGTGGGAGTAAGACACATATGTGCAAGTCTCAAGTCACTGTGGTGAGAATCAGGCAGGTCAAGTCGAGTCACTGCTATTAGTCAAGCAAGTCAAAAGTCCTGTGAAATAAGGACGATCTGGTCAAATGTTTGGCGAGCTTTCTAGCAAACATTTGACCAGCCAATGAGCTAATAAGTATAAGCTGGAAAGTAGAGCTGCCCCCTCAAAGAAGGAGATTCAGATCATCAGTCGGACTCTCCTCAGTTGACTGAAATTCCTTCAATTGAGTGTGCAGCTAAATCTGGGGACATTTCGGTCCCCAGATTTAGCTGAGAGTGAGCGCTCCTTGCTTTTGCGCTGCTCTTTGTTGTAAGCAGCTGCATACACCAAGGCAGGAAGAGAGGCTTTGTCCGTCAGGCTCCAAGAAACATATTCTAATTTCTGCCATGTGGTGAATTTACAGCTCGCTGCAAATTAACGATACAGTCTTTGACTTTTGTTTGATATCTAGTGTCAGCAAAAAATGTTGTCGCCCTTTACGATTCGTTGTTAGCGCAGTTAGCTTTTTAATTGTCAAACTTAACATTCAGCCGAACCCCACTCAAACTCTTAAACTCTATATGGAAAAACAGTAATAGAATAGTTTAATATTTTTAGTGAACAGTCAAATCTGATTTGATTGGCATAATCGTGAGCCGGGTGCAGTCGTACTAAAAGGACACCATCATGTATCTTCCTTTGTGGGTTTTGTAGTGGCCTTGTAGGTTGCCAGGTTTGCACGCTTTGCACGAGAAAATTTCCAATTATGTTTCAAAGACAAAACGTAACTTCTCAATATCTAGAAAAATGCAAATATTCAATAAAAAGTCAAGTCTTCTCAAGTCGTCTGCCTTGAGTCTAAGTAAGTCATGAATACCAAGTCAAAGTCGAGTCTTTTATCAGTGTTTATCAAGCAAGTCTCAAGTCCTCTGATTTGCAATTCGAGTCTGACTTGAGTCAAGTCATGTGACTGGAGTTCCCAACCTCTGATGAGTGTGAATGTGAGAATTTGCAGCTTTTTTTCTGTTTTATATCACAACAAGTTGAGTGAATTTGGGGTTTTTGTGTTTTATTTCAACAAAAGAAGACGTCACTTTAGGCTTCGGTAAATTATGATGGGCGTTTTTTAACTATTTTCTTATGTTTTGTAGACTAAATGTTTAAAAAAGTAATTAATAGAATAATCGATAATGTAAATAATCATTAGTTGCAGCCCTACATGTATGTGTAGTCGTATTTTGTGGCAGTTTTCAGGTGAATACGTCACATTTTGCAGCTGGAAATGACCCTAAGGGAACAATGCAAATCCTCCAAGACATAAAGTAAATATGAGATCATCATTAGTTTCTAACTGCTGCTTTTATCTGCAATAAAATGTTACAACTGTTTAAGGTTCATTATCCAGAGAAGTTCATTCATATCCCTAAGACAGTCATTTGTTTCATGTCACACAGTTTCAATTCATTAATAATTCGCCTGAGCAATTGAGAGGCAGTACTATATTTTCCTACTTTATATTTAGTAAGTGAGCAGATGTGTCCCTCGACTGTGTAGCTTCATTTCGATGTAGCTGTAGCCTTCAGCAATATGCTGAGCTTTTTAATCCTTTCATGTACACTACACACAGCATGGTGCCATTTCCAGGCCCCCGAGCCTTCCCCTGCAAGGCTGCTCGGGCCTCGTTGGTTGAAATACAAAAATGACTATGTATTTATACATATATCATTTAATTAAATGAGTGAATTATGTTATTCAATGTGGTATAAAGGCTGAATGTTCATCTGTTGAGTCTCATTAAGACTCTCGTGTAAGATAACATGCTTGACTTGCTCAATCCATTTATCCACAGGCGCCATTATATCACATGTTAAAGAAAAAAAAAAGAATACAATCCAATTAAAGAGCCCATCAGTGTTAAACATGCTGCAGGACCAGTGTCTTCTCGCTATCACTTAATGTCCTGCGTCTATTTCTGTTCACTGATATCTGGTGATATAACAGGAAACCAGTTTGTGAAATGATTCGG